TTGACACAAAACAGGTGAGGGCTCCTTCCATCCAGGAGAGGGCATGAAGAGCGCAGGAGCGCTGAGGTGGCCGTAACTCCAACAATGAACCTACCCGGCCTTTGGAATGTGGCAAGAAAAGCAACATCTGGGTAAAAAGCACAGCAAATAATGTGCCCAGCAGTGTTATTTTCAGCCTGGCCGCTCGGAAAGAAATATTTTTAGGGGCGCAGGGAAGAGCTGGCAATCTTAGCCCACGACGTCCGATAGAGTGGTTGCTCCAGAACAGCTCCTGGGAGACAACTGGCTGTAGCTTCTCCAGTCCTGGGCTTGCAGCTCTCAAGGCAACAGACAGGAGAAACGTCCTGCCCAAATCTGGCTCCAAGGTTTAGGATGCCAGCTCAGGCAAAGCTGCAACTGCAGCCCCATGAGGACGCCCCTGGGCTGTGCCAGGTGCCTTTAGCTCACACAGACGATAAAGAGGTACAGTCACCATGAAATGTCCTGGTTGAAACTGTCTCATGACCAGATGAACATAATTGTTGAACAAATCCGCTAGGGGGAAAAAAAACCCAAACCAACAAAACAAACACACCAATCCAAAAACCAATGCCTCTATTCAGAAGATGATAATACAGTTTTAAAATATGTTTCACTATGTAGACCTAATAGAAATACTTCTCAACGAGAATATTCTTTTAATTGGGGAAAAAAATACTTTTGTGATTTTTAAAACAAGTTGCCACTTGACAAGTAAAACAAGTGTTCTCCCTCTTTAAGGCCCTGTACAAACCTTAACTCAGAGGTGTGCTTTTATCCTGAACAGCGACCGTCACTTCTGAGCCTGCGCTCGCGCTCAACCACGCAGCCAAGAACCAGGACAGCAATACCAGAGAAAAAAGAACACCCTTTTTGTACCCTCCACCACCAAAAACACTGCCGTGGTTTGGTTCTGAAGCTGAAAGAATTAAAAAAAACCCCAAACAACTCAACAAAAACCCCCAAACCTTGAAGGATAAATGCACTGCTAACATGCAAGGAGACCCTGTGAGGAGTTAGAACAGTTAGAGAGGCTTGTACGGAAACACATGGGCTTCGTTTTACCTGGTAACTAAAGGTGCTTAACAAAGTTTCACTCAGTGTTTTGGGTTAGTTGGACAAACCAGTTCCACAAAAGGACCGTTGAGGTTAATAATGAACAGTCAGTGCACACTGGTAATTAGTGGTGCGACGCTTTACAGAGAAGACAACGCTAGGCCTGTGGAAAACCTGTCCATTAATCCCGGGCAGTGCAGGAGCCTGCTGTCTCCGAAAGGCTCCTGAGGCCCATCCCAAATGTCACCCGTGTCACTCCTGTGACCAATCAGGCCGCTTTATTCTCGCCAACAGAGTGGTTATGGTCGCCTGTGGCTGTCAGTGCAGGTACAAAGAAGAGCGCGGGGCTGAAAGAAGCTGAATCTCGAGCGGTTTTAAAGTGTAGTTTTTAAGTTGTAACTTAGCCGAGAAGAAAAGTCTCCTCCTTTGATGACAGTGCAGATTCTGCTCCACTTCTCTACCACAAAAATTACACTTGACACGATCGTTTCTCCAGGGTGGACAACGCTGCGTAGTGGTAGCTGGTATTAGGTCAGCTCTAATAGTTTATTCTCCAGTATGTTAAAGAAATTCTACTAAGACGTCCTGATGAGTGGGGACCTTTCATCTTCAGTACCCTGAGAGAAAAAAATCGCAACACAGCGAAGTTAAATGTGGCCCATTAGAAAGCTAGATTGCCAAGACTGCAAGCAGGAAAGGAAAAAGCTCTTGGGTTCCTAATTGTAAGTACAGTTTCCTCTAGGGCAACCAGAACTGCACTAAAAAAAGCACCAGAGTGTGGGTAGCAGTTTGGTCAAAGACCTTGGGGTTACTGTAGCACCTGACAGAGGACAGCAGGCCACAACCACCCTGGTGGGAGGGGGATCGAAAGGAGAGCTGCAACTAGCTGAATTACTTTGATTTGCAGGAAAAGCAACAAAAGCAAGGGAGAGAAAACATGGAATCTAGGTGTCCCTTTGTCATGTTAATCCCTGTGCAGCTCTCAGAAACATCTGAGAGAGCTGGTATGAAGCTACAGATGTAGGGTGGGGCCGGAATGCCTGGGAGAGGGGTCTGAGTAGATGGGACAGTTTTGACTAGTGACAAGATGAGAAGAAATGGGCTTAAGTTGTGCCAGGGGAGGTTTAGAATGCATAGTCTTTCCTGAAAGAGTGGTAAGGCATTGGACCAGGCTGTCCAGGGAGGTGGTGGAGTCCCCAACCCTGGAGGGGTTCAGAAAATGTGTGGACATGGCACTTGGGGACATGGTTTAAAGGTCATAGTAGCATCGGGCTGACAGTTGGACTTGATGACCTTAGAGGTCATTTCCAATCCCAGTGACTCTATGATTCTCTAGCCAAGCATGCCAATTACACAGGCAGGCCCAAAAGCTCAAAGGAAGAAGTACCAGGTTCTCCTGTAAAGGAACCTGAAGTACAGTCCTGAGAGCATCTGCTCGTGAAGCACTTCCTGGAAAATGAAGCACGAAGCTAAGAAGAGCCAGAGATCAGATGCTCCAAGCCACTGCTCGGGGAAAGGAGGCTGCAGAGCTCGCCGCTGAAGTGCCGCTGCCGCAACCACCGCAGCCCTGGTGCCACTGGAGATGTGATGGCACCCACTGAGACACGGCGTGGGCATGGTGTGCCCAAGTGCTCCGGAGGCAGCTGTGAGGGCACCTCCTCACCCCATTGTAAGATGGTATTTAGGAAACATCACACAAGCAAGGACCACACCAACACCACAGCAACTAGAAGAAAACAGCCCGCTAGAGTACCCAGTCTATGTCTCTAACCAAAGGATGCGTACTTTGTCTTGCTGGACCCCACTGCCTTGTCTATTAGGGTGAAATTTTGGCATTGGCTTTCAGCATGACTAGCAAACAGAATGCCAGCATGTCGTTTTGTGACAGAACTCCTTATGAAGAGATGTCTGAACGAGTGCTGTCTGGATAAAACTGTCTGCATGCTGTTGTCTGTAAAATTTTTCTGTCCTCTGCTCATCGATCTACATTATGACTCTGAAAAGTAATCAGCTGGCACAACACAATTGTTTCTACTGAGAACACTGTCAGATTGTCACTGACTACATCTGTCCATCAAATGTAGTGGACTTGTATGCATCCTGTTGTTCAGGGTCCTCTAGACAGGCTGATTTATTTTTTTTTTTACTACTGTTGGCAAGGGAGTTGGGCACAGAAGACACGGCCTGCCTTACCACGGTTCTTATGTTAGCTCCATTCCTTTGCTTTGGTGCATCTACTCTGAGTCTGTTAAAACCTCCCTTCCCTAGAAAGGTCATTTTAAACAAAAACAACATATAAAAATGTCTGTGCACAGAAAGACACTGAACAGATAAAATCAACCAAAAGAAAATCCAAGAGAGGCAGATGTACAGTAAGCAAGGTCAAATTCAAACGCTACTTACCTCTTCACTAATTCCCCGGGACCTGCACACAAGCACAATAAAAACAATCCCAAAAATAATTCCTAGAGCCATGATTACAAAGGGGATTCCAGTTACAACACTAGCTTCCAGCAGGACATGCTTGAGTTTGGTGGCAGATGCTTCATCAATCAGAACACTCTGGAGTAAAGAGAGATGAAGAGGGGAAAAAAGGACTTATTTCTGTTATTCCTTTATATTACATGGATTTAATTTTGTGAAGGGTGAGGAAAGAACACTGCCACAACACTCCCCCTCTGCTTCCTTGCTTCTTTCCCCTCTACAAATACTTAGCCCTCCTCACAGGGCCAAAGGGATCACCTAGTCTGTACTTCGAAAGAAAGCAGTGATTTTTAACTCTCAGTTTAGGAATGGGGTAGTACAGGCCTGTAATAATGGTGTACGACATCGAAACTAGTCCCCTAGAGTTCTCCCTGAACCCAGTGAATTCAGTGAGCCAACTACAGCACAGGAATATTCACAAAAGACAACTCAAAAAAAGTTGTGGTCTTGTGAACTCCCACGTCCTCATCTGAGCAGCCCTTTTCCTCATGGCCACTATCTCTGAGTCTAAACAGTCATCTGACTGCAAGTGTTTTGCAGTGCTGAACTTAATACTATAGTCAAAAAAGCAGCTCTAAGCTAAGAAACAGCAATAGCTTCCTACCCATCACCATATAAAACAACATGAAAAACTGCGTCTTCTTTTCTGCTCAAAGAGAGCATATTTGCAAGCACAAACATACCACAAACATGTAAAGAAATAATAACACTATTTACCTCGTTTACATACATCACTGGGAAAATCAGTGTTCGGATGTTGCCTGTTTCACTGTGTAAAAGAAACAATAAAAAATGATGGGTTTGCTACTTTTCAACTGGAGGGTTCTGGAGACAGATTTTAACAGAACGATGAACGAAGAAAGTGTCCCTAAAAGACCTCTGGGCTGTTCCTTTTTATTGTTGATTTTCAGCTCCCTGTTGGAGTAGAACAATCCCAGTCTCAAAGATGGATACTGAACTCTGTTTTGGGAGCAATGGCAAATTTTGAGAGTTGGTAGGGAGAGAAAGAGAGGGATCCATAAAAGGCTCACTAATAACCGACTGAATGACAGGTATGTGCCAGCAGGA